TCTAGCCGCATGCATAATCTGTTAGTTATTTGGCAACTTTAACCTCAAAATATTTAGCTATAACATTTTTTGCATCAACAAATTTATAGGTAATAGTTATTATTTAAGAACACATTTGCACGATTAACTTTTTTTATCATTTGTTCTGAAATAAAATTTAAAAAAAAATATATGCATGAGCGCGTGTGTGAATTCTGGAAAACATGATATCAAAAACAAGGTGACCCCCCCTATTCGCACAATCAAAAACAGGGTAAACCCCCCTACTGATCCACCGACCCCCCTAGGCCGAAGTAACTGACCAATCCCTAAGTCATTGGAACGCATTGTAGCAGAGCTGTTGACATTATATCTTGCTCATAATAAACTTTTTGCAAGATGCCAGTCTGCCTATCGGGCAAATCACAGTACTGAAACTGCACTTCTACGTGTTCATAATGACATTATGCTGGCTTTAAACAATAACAAAGATGTAATTTGCAATATGTTGGATTTATAAGCCGCGTTTGACACGCTAGGTCACACAATTTACTCACACCCCCAGCTGCACGCAGTTCACATTTGTGAGTGTCATTATTTTGTATAAGATTACGTCAGGAGTCAACCATGCTAACTAGCCGCTATTCTATGCCTACGTGAATCACAACGGTTAATCATTGAAAGTAATTTGATATTATGTAATGTATTTGAATCTGGGACACATCCTCCATTTGTATATGAACAGATCTGTGTAATAATAATCTCTTGTAATTCATTTGTATAATATGAGTCACCCCTGAATGTATTGAAATTATGCTTGATCACGTGGTAACCATAACCGATGTTTGATCATGTGGTAACCATAACCGATGTTTGATCACGTGGTAACCATAACCGATCTTTGATCACGTGGTAACCATAACCGATGTTTGATCATGTGGTAACCATAGCCCACAGAAGAGAGTGAAAGTACGTTTCGTCAGATTTATTTTTTACCAGGAATAGAAAGGATTAACCCAGTTATGCAACAGTCAACACGTAAACAGGAAAGAGTAGCCCTGAATTGCGTAAGTTATGTAGCGTGCCTGGACACGTTATCACATTATTGGTAAAAGTTGTTACCATATTGGGTTATCTCATTTATTACATTACTGGAAATTTTTTATTACAGTATCTGTTGACTTGTTATTACATTAGGGGTTAAAACATTATTACGATAATGATATTACATTATAGTTTATTTGACAGTTTTAGATTCCGTAACTGTTGATGTAATACATAAGTCCTGGATCATTGTAATACCGACTTTGGGATCCTGTAAGATTTTCGTCTCTCACCAACTTCTCTCTAGATGTAATTCCTTTTCCGTTGGTTTTCACATAGAAATACTTCGTTTCGGGTCTTTTCATCCATTGATCAAAGTCATGAATAATGTAACAACCTTTGTTATAATCAAATTTTACAAGGAATGACAAGTTGATCCGTTCATCTTCAGGGACTTGTGGTGGTTCGAAAATTTCGGATGGTAACGGATACCCCTGAAAATTACATAAATAATTATATGTTATATATGATATTATAACAATATATTACAACACAAATATAAAACAACTAAAGTCCTCAGTTTTTTGTATAAAAAAATTATTTCAGAAAAGAAACATCAGCCTGTGCATTGCTTTTCAGTACAAAATGAAACAATATAATTATATGCACGTGCAATATGTTATGTTAAGCATTTATTTATTAATTCACTTACCTTTGCCACAACAATTTTGTTGCCTTTATTATCAACTGTCCATTCAAGCATATATATCAAATTCTTGTCAGCTTTACCACCAATGTGGTTGCCAGGAATACCAATCCAACACGGCGTCTCATCGTCACCAGGTATAAACTCTTCCTCAGGAGATCGAATTGTGTACATGCGGAACAATGCTGCAAAAATGTATTAAAAGATGACTTTCTGTACAAACTGAACATCGCAGTGTTCTGTGGCCCGGAACGTGTATTAAAATTCAAAAAAAATATAGTTATGTTGTTTCCAATTTTATTTATTGTAATATTTGTAAACGTTTCGGGTTTTTGTATGTTAGAGACCACACGCCGTTTGGGCGATCGTTTTGTTATATTAACCCCTTGTTAAATGTAACCCCTCGCTGCACCGTTCTTTCGTTTATAATCTCCACTTTAAACTTGCAAGTCGTTGATTCTAAACAATAGTCTAACGACATGTGAACCGAATGTGCGAACGTGGAGTCGCCATCATAACAGCTTTGTTAAACAACGAAAACTATATTATAACTGAACGAGACAAATGTGTAGCTGATAGAGAGTGACATCTGAGTGAGCAATCAGTCAAATTCAAATTGGGCACACTTCCACCATATAGGATCAGGCAATCATCTTCCGTACTATTAAACATCGCTGCACATTACGCTGCACGACTTTCTGTCTACATGCGATATCGCTGCAATACAAATGTATTATCGTGATTTATATTAAATTTTCGGCTTAATAGTGGTTGCCATGACATATACTGATAAAGGTTAAATGATGAGGATTTAGGCTTAATAGTGGTTGTCATGACATCTACTGATAAAGGTTAAATGATGAGGCCAGATGACGGAACTGGTCGAGACCAGTCGACACATTCTAATGAGTTTGCGATTTCAAGCTTATGCGGTGTCTTGGTCGTAGTCCAGAACCA